GAGGGGGGGCGGGAGACAATCGCCAAAATCCCCACCCAAGACAGCACACGAGCGAGAGGGGGGAGGGGGGCCGGGGGACACGCACGATCTGAGCCCCAGCGCGTGATGACGAAACTCCGCGGCCGGGGGATCTCCACATCTGCCATGGTCACACGCAGGGTGTCCAGCACCATGCCGAGGATGGCGTCGTCCTCGTCGGCCTCCAGCTGCTGGGCCGCCTCGCCGGAGATGAAAGCCACCAGCACCGGCGCCCCGCCCAGAGCCTTTTCCAGGCTGCAAAAGAGGAAGGCCTTCCCCCGGTCGGCGGATCGCGCCGACAGGAAGGCCCCAAACATGTCCAAGTGCCCCGGCCAAAACCGGTGATCGAAAACCATGATTACCTTATTCAACACGCCGAAGCCCAGTCGGCAAATGGCCAGCTGCTTCTCCTCGCTCAATGGCGGGTCGAAGAGGGCCGTCGCCGGGGCCGCCTTGGCCAGGCCCTGGAAACGCCGAGAGTACCGCAGCCGCGCGGTCAGCCCCGGATCCACGGCCCGGTACTTGAGCACCCCAAGGGGCAGGGCGCTGATGAGGTACCGACAGCGGAAGGTCCGCCCGTCCTCGGTCTCCACCACGATGGGGAAGGCCTCCTCCTCTTCCTCCTTGGTGCCCATGTCACTGATGCCCATGTGTGCGGCTGGGTGGCTGAAGCCGGTCGACGATCCGTTGGCCGGCTCGGACCCATGACCTGTCCCGGTGCCGGGGGTCCCCCCCTTGCCGCTGTCCGGGTAGGTGATCCGCCGGACCGGGCAATTCAGCAGGACATTCAGCCCCTGGGCCATGCCATCCACCACTTGGGAATACCCGCCGACGATGATGCAGTGCGGCCCGGCGAAGGTGTGGTCATCGTCTTGATCCCACTCGTTGATGGACACCTCGGACAGGGGGGCCGAGTTGGCGAACTCCAGGTTGGCCAGGTGCCAGCCGATCGACGGGTGTCGGAAGAGCTTGCGCGCCAGGCCGGCATCATTGAGGGCCTCCTCGATGGACCGGTCATTCGCCGGGTCGCGCTTTTGGGTGGCCTCTGTGTGTGTGTGGGAGGGGGAGGTGTTGATGATGCGGTTGATAATGTCGTTTGGTTTCCCGGGACAACATTATTCGGTGCGCATCAGTTGTTCACATGTGTGTGTGTGTGTGTGTGTGTGTGTGTGTGTGTGTGTGTGTGTGCGTGTGCGTGTACGTGGATGTGGACGTGGGCGTGGACGTGGACGTGGACGTGGACGTGGACGTGGACGTGGACGCGTACATGATTCGCCACACGCGCACACGTGTGCACATGCACGTGGAGAACATGCCCAGGCGCATAGGGACACCCATAACCATAACCGGGAAGAGGAGGAGATCGCGTTGACGAGCCCATGCGTTGGAGGGGGGGGGGGGGGGGGGGGGGAGCACAAGACAAGCGCACACCGACGCACACCGACGCACATCCACACATGCACATTTGCGGACGTTCGACAGACCAGGCAGCGAGAGGAAGAAGGAAGCAACCGACACACCGTTAGACACCGACACACTTGGCAAAAGGAAACCAAAAAGAGGCCGGCCGGGGGGCGAAGAGCTGCGCACCGTCCAGAAGCTCATTGTATGCGCGCTGGCCGGCCTCATCCAGATCCTCGGGCAGGATGCCACACGCGTCGAAAATGGGGCATCCATCACGGATCTCATGGAGCTGGAGATTCATCTGCTTGGCAAGGACCTGGTCGGAGAGATGCGAGGATCGCGACGGCACGAGGGAAAGACAACGCATGAGGAGACAGAGGCAGAGGCGCAGGGGCGGGCCCGGGCGCGGGCGCGGGCAGGGAGAACGACAAAAAAAAGAGCACAGGCCACTCCCCCAACACACCTGCAGCGGGTTGCCATTCTTCAGGCCGGTGACAATCATGGCCCCGGTGTCGGCGCCGTAGATCGGCTGCCCGGAGTCGGGCGACGTGGTGCCGGGGATGCCGCTGAGCATGCGCGAATCGATGCGCCCGCCCAGGTGCCCGCGCGATTCCAGCACCAACGTGCGGAAGCCATTATGCGTCAGGTGCCGTGCGGCCGCCAGCCCGGAGATGCCGCCCCCGACCACCACCACCGGGTAGCAATGCTGCCGCGAGGAGGAGCCGCTCTCGGCCTCCGACAAGGGGGGCCCCGGTGCCGCCGGCAGCGGCATCACCCCGAAGTTGATGAACCCATAGAACTCCAGGTAGTGGATGGCATTGTCGGCGATGTCCGGGTCGAAGGGAGTCCCGGAAGGCAGCTGTGCCCGGATGGACTCCTCGGCGGTGTCCACCGTCAGGCCATCATGCGAGGCGGACAGCTTGCGAATGCGCTGCAGCGGCGAGTCCAGCCACACACGCAGCACCGCATTCCGATGGGCGATGTACACCTGCTCGCACAGCAGGTAGAAGGGGAGGACCATGCGCTCGTGCAGTGACATCCGATCCGGGGGCATGCGCGAGTCACGTGCCGCATCGGCTGGTGTCTCCGGCTCCGGCGGCGGTGGCTGGCAAAACTGCTGCCGGAGCTGCTGACGGCGTGTGGCCACCCTTGGGCGGGCCTTGGCCGTGGACATGGCTCTCGGGGGAGGGGGCGGGGAAGGAGGGAGAGAAAAAAAGAGGGAGAGAGCGAGACCGGGTTGGAGGAGGGGCGAGTGCGCGAGCCCAGGGAGGGGAGGTGGTCGGACTCCTGTCAAGTCGGAGGGGAGGAGGTCAGGAGGAGGAAGGGCGGGGGGAGAGGGAGGGGGAAGGAACGAGGGCCGGGGCAAACACACCTTACAACTGGCTACGGTTGAATTTGCGAGGGGGGGGGGGGGGATGGAGCACGCGGAAAGGTGCGTCCAGATGTTGCAGCTCGGGTGAGGGGGAAAGGGAAGGGAAAAAAGGGGGGGCGGGCGGAGGGGGCGGGTGAAAAAGGGAGGGAGCGTGACTCGGATGCCCGGCATGGCCTGGACAAACGTCCCGAAAAAGGACGGGCCTGGGCCGACAGAGATTGCCCCTTTTTCCCCTCCTCCTCCCTCGCCAGGCCGTCCCCACCCCCCGTGCCGCCGCCCACCGGGATGGGGAAGACGGCGGGGGGAGAGGACATAACCGAGTCCGACGACTGGCGCACGGACACCCGGAGGCCGATCACAGGCCGATACCCTGGGCCCCGGCGCGCGCGCGCGCGCGCGCACTCGGACGGGGGAAACACACACACACACACACACACACGCAGAGATACCTGGCTCGAGCGACGGGGCAACCGCCGCCGGGGAACAGGGCGAAGAAGCGTTGGCACATGCCACAAAAGCGTCCGAGGTGTTGTGGCCGGCTGCGACTCGCCCGGGCTCGCCCTTCTGGCCTACTTCACCCTGCCCCCGGCCGAGGAGGGGAGGAATGGGAATGAGGGGCGCGGAGCCTGGTGGCCGCAGGCGGGGGACCCGGTCGTTGGACCCCGGTCGTTGGACCCCGGTCATTAGACCCCTGTCCTGTCTCAACGGCCTGTGGCCCGCCCGCCCGCCCGCCCGCCACATGTCCTCGGCCCTCGGCCCTCGGCCCTCCCTCTCGCGCCCGAGGCCGGGGGGGGGGGGGGGGTCTGCCGAAGGTGCTTCTTTTTTCCCGGGCAGGACTCGCCGCCTGCTGGGGACGAGGAGCCACGCCCTCACCTCTCCCGGGCCGAACCTCGGCCCTGGGGAGGGGGGTTATTTTGCCCGCAGGACAATGGGTCGGGTGTGGGCGCTGTTGTCTGCCAGGGGGGGCTTCTGGGCCCGGCATCTCCCGGCCGGCGTGTGACCTTGCTCGCTTTTTTTCTCCCCTTCCTGGCGCGGTGTGCGGCAGGCCATCGGCTGATTCTTGCCCTGCATTTTCCCCGTGGCCACCGTCGCCAGTGGCGTCCCCCTCCCGCTCCCTCCCCCGCCCCCTGCTTGTGAGCTCCTTCCGTCTCAGGGTGCTCCAGGCCAAGACTGGGTCCACCGCTTCCCCTGCGTCCTTCGTAGGACTCCCTTCCTTCGGGGAAACCCGGCCCATATACACACGTAGATACATACATAGATACATGCACACATACAGACATACAGGAATACAGGAATACAGTCATACGGGAATACAGACATACAGACATACAGACATACAGACATACAGACATACAGGGATACAGAAATACAGTAATACAGGAATACAGAAATACAGAATACATAGATACAGACATACAGTAATACAGTCATACAGGG